AAGTGGCATACACGCCACCATGAATGTCCTTACAGTATGAAAGCAGTTCATTTAACCAGTATGTCAGTTGTTCAGTCAGTACAGTCATATGTGGTACATCCATTAGCATAGCAGTAAACAGTAGGTCTTAAAGACCGAACAGTATTGATGGCCATCAGTCAGTAAACAGTAGTGGTTCCACGAGGGAACCGACAGAGATCTCTGTAACAGTAACAGTCAGTAACAGTAGTTGCTAAGGATGCCACAATACAGTTCAGAATAGAGGACATACATTCATTCAATTAACAATAACAGTTCAGAGAGCAGTACAGTTCAATTGTTCAGAAAATAATCGTTTTGAACATATCTTTACACTGTTGTTACTCACAGAGTTTGGGCTACAGTATGCTAGAGCGCGCCTCCCCAGTCGCCAACCCTACACAGTTAACAGATTGAACACACACTAAGCTACACAGTTGGAAAAGATAACAACTTAAACCCTAATTTGTCTCGGTGTGTTCTACATCTATATCCTCAATAAGATGTCTTAAACTAGGCCTAAGAATGCCTAGAATGGGATGAGGATAGAAAGATGCACACTTAAAAGCATTTTCAGAAAGACAGAGTCCCGCTCGAGCGCAAGTTTCCCCGCTCGAGCGGTCATGCAACAAAGGTACACGCTCGAGCGTAAACTTTCCCGCTCGAGCGTACTGTAAAAGTCCTGGATGGGTGAAATCTCCGCTCGACGCCCGCTCGAGCTTGAGACAAGACTCCGCTCGAGCGCCCAATCCTCCGCTCGAGCGGACTGTAAAACAGTGCAGAGAGATGCTGGATGCTCGGATTCCACGCTCGAGCGGCATTTCCCCCGCTCGAGCGAAAGTGCACAATCTGGAAATTCCAGATTGCACCTCCAAGCTCAAAACCAAGTTGTTAACAACTCAAAACCGATCCTCTTGGGCTCATTTTCTGGAAAACTCTTATAAACACATGGAATAACATGATTCAAAGTTTAATTTTGAGAAATCAAAGCCCAAGGGTGGTTCATTCAAACCCAATTTCAAACCATTTTCCAAGAACAATCCTCAAACATGACATGCATGATCTTAAATCATTTTCAAAGCTTTAATGCTGTTTCAAAAGAGCTCAAACCTTCAAAAACAAGATGAACTCATGGAGTATGACCAAAAGATGGACATGCATGTGAGGTATTATGAACTACAACCTCAAAACTAAAGAATGCCAACATGCATGCAACAATCAAGCTACAATTCAACATCTAAACCATGTTTTGGCTCTAAACTCCAACAATATGACATGAACCATGCAATAATCAACTTTAAGACACAATTAAGGGGTTGAAACCCTTACCTAAGTCTTGAATGCAGGATTGGAGTTCAAATTAACAATCAACCTTCAATTATCAAGCAAAACCCAAGATAGAATCCAATTTCTCTCACTCTCTCTCCCCTCCTGGTCGGCTATGGCAAGGAGAAAGCTGATGAAATGTTTTGATTGAAGTGTATATAAGACTCAACAACATGTGTGAAGTAGTGGCCACTAAATGGTCTAATGGTAATTAAGCCTAACTCTTTAATTAGCTTATTTTAATCTACTTTAATCATACCTAATCAGTTTTCAGGTAAATATACCATAAAATCACATTAATTATGAGGATCATAAAACATCAATTAATTTCGGATTCGGCCGCCGATAAGGCCTTCAATTAGCAGTTTAAACATAAAACATGAACAGATCAAACAAACAGTCAACAGATAAAATGCAATTCAAACAGATGTATTCATTCCATTCAGTTTCAATTTCGGTCAGTCAGTCAGTTCAGTACTTTTAATCAGTTCAATTATCAGTCATGATCAATTCGATTTAACAGAAATCAATGTTTAACGGTAACCAGTGGTGAGGGTTATTACACTGATATAAAACACTCTCACTCGAGCGAAGCCTTTGTCGCTCGAGCGACCAGACACAAAAAACTCTCGCTCGAGCCAAGAAGTTCTCGCTCGAGCCAAAAACTCAGAATTGCGCTCGAGCAAAAGAATGCTCGCTCGAGCCAACAACTCAAACCCTCAGGTCTGCCACCAGCACGCTCGAGCGACAGACTTCTCGCTCGAGCGAAGAACAAGCCAGACCGCTCGAGCGAAGAAAACTCGCTCGAGCCAAGAAATGCAACTCTCAGGTCCAGAACCAGACGCAATCGCTCGCTCGAGCGAAGCCACTCTGGCTCGATCCACCATACACGAACTCAACTCTCGCTCGAGCGACCAACTCCTCGCTCGAGCGAAGGTCCAAAAATCTGGGCAGCAGCACTAGGCTCCCAAACACAACCAACCTGTAACAAACCTGCCCAACACATCCTATAACTCAATATACAAAGTAAAGAGGATGCAAACTAGATAATAAACTACTACCAACATCCATGGACACATGTCCAGATCACTGTACAACAAGGGTAAACCCGGGATCGCTATAGTAGCAAAAGGATCAACCATGTTAGCCGTTGAAACAATAGTACTAACATCCACAGGCTGTGGAATAGTGCTACTACTAGTATTGGTATTCTGAGAGAATGGCCTTCTTGCAGGTTCACTTGTTCTGTTGATGATATTATGCATATGCTCCATTTCAGGAGGGAGCGCAACTTGATACGCCACCGGATTGATTTTCTCAATGATCTCATATGGTCCGACGTATCTCGGTGCTAACTTGCCTTTGACTCCAAAACGAGTCTGGCCTTTCATCGGTGTCACTTTCACAAATACGTGATCACCCACTTCATACTCTTTATCTCGTCTTCTGACATCAGCATAACTCTTCTGTCTGCTCTGCGCAGTTTTCAGTCTCTGCTGTATCAGTTTCACTTTTTCAGTTGTTTCATACACAATCTCAGGCCCAAGCAAAGGCCCATCTCCAACTTCTGCCCAGCAAATTGGAGACCTATATTTTCTGCCATACAATGCCTCGAAAGGCGCCATACCAATACTCGAATGGTAGCTGTTGTTGTAGGCGAATTCAACCAATGGCAGATGACTTTCCCAGTCTTCCTGAAAATCAAGGACGCACATTCTCAGTAAATCCTCCAGAGTTTGGATGGTCCTTTCTGACTGGCCATCTGTCTGAGGATGATAAGCACTACTCAGTCTCAGTTCAGTACCAGTGCAGTCTGTAGGCTTTGCCAAAACCTCGATGTAAACTTCGAATCCCTGTCAGAAACAATAGACACAGGCACTCCATGCAGTCTTACAATCTCATCAATACAGATAACAGCT